CAAAATCCCCTCCAACTTCCAGCCACTGGAGTAACCGCCCCCCCCCCCCCCCCTTACATATTTTTTTACTCCACCCTTTCACTGAATTACAGGCTCTGTCCAGGAGATGACACTTCTCTTTAGGTGTTAATGTTCAATCATGACAGAAAAATTATTTTAGTACAAATATTGATGTTTAAAAAGGAATTGTAGAGGACCAGCCAGTGACCAGCCAAAAGGGCCATAAAGGAAAGTGGGGAAATTTTGAATGGCAACTACTGTAGGTTTAGCATTCTTCTTATATTGTTTTTTTTTTCATGCCGGAATAAAGCCAGTTTGATCAGTTAGATTTATTTGATTATATGTTTTTCCCTTCTTTTTGCTATTATACCTGTTTATTAATTTATTTTTTAAATGATTGAAGACTGGGCTTGCTGGTCTGCAGCAGTTGATTGTTTTCTTTATTAGGTGAAAGTGATGTAGCAACTTCAGACCATTATTTAGGAAGATCTCACAAAAAACAAATGTTCAATACCAATCTCCCACTCTATCTTCCCCTCATTTGTGAACAAGACCCCAAGATACTTAAACTCCTCCACTAAGGGCAGTACATCCTCCCCAACCTGGAGAATCCACTCTACCCTTTTCCGGGTCAAGAAACATAGTCTTGGATTTGGAGGCACTGATCCTCATCCTGGACTGCGAACTCCAGTGAGAGCTGTAGATCAGACCCTGATAAAGCCAATAGAACCACATCATCTGCAAATAACAGAGACATGATCAACACCTTGGCTGGGCCTAGAAATTCTGTCCATAAAAGTTATGAACAGAATCAGTTCATTGTTATTTTGTTATTTTTAAAGGTTTTGACCAAGTCTATTACTTCTATGTAGATATAGGCTGGCCATTATTCATGCCTCTTCTTTTGAAAAATATGGATGATCAGTCTTTTTTTCTTTAAGATTCCATATCACATTCATGAAGTTCTATTTCAGAATCATCATACATTTTTCCTATTAATCTGCAAATGCTTCTGCTATGTCTCTACGGCATGCCAATGCCATCATTTACATACCCACTGTGTGCTGTATTTTTGAGATAAGCCTGTGTTATATTGGACTTTCTATGATAAAATGCCAATAAACAGCTGGCCCTGTTTTCCCATTTTGTAAGAAATCCTTCAACTTCCACTATTAAAATCTCATCCTCTTTATCTCTCACTATTTTTAACGTAGTCAGAATAGTCTTATCTGCTTTTGTTGAATGTTCCATAATCAATTCTCTAATCTCTTTCTCTAGAAGCCTTTCAGTCTAGAAAATATTAATAATATATTTCCTGGTGATATTTCACCATTATTATTGATTTTTCTCTTGTATTTATTTTACTCATCTACTTTGAATTGAACTGAAACATTTATTTCCATCCATCTTATCCATTTTTGTCTATACAGCAGTGTGGTACTTTGTGCATATGTTGTTGAAATATATTGAATGATTATAATGGGAAGTAGAATAAAATGTGTGATCCATTTTATTTTCTCTCCATACATCAATAAGGCTAAACAATTTAGTGATATTATCCAGCAATTTATTTTTCATCATACCCTGGAGACTCCATCTCCAGGCATTGAGCCCTCGCTGGTCCATTAGAATTTTCATTCACGCCTCTCTCCTTATTGAGCTTGCCTATTTTAGCCATATTCTCCAATATCTCTTTAAGTGACTGTAGATTCCAGTTTTTCACACTTTCTGCCTGTCATATTCTCTACAAATTTAAATGATTCATGTACATTTTAAGTGTATTCATATGACCTCTCTGTTTTGCATGCTTTGATTGTAATTCTTTTTACTGATCTCAAATGGCTGAATGTGATCATTTGTTTTATGTTCCTATTGATGTAGTTTCTATTTAAGTTCATGCCCTGGAGGTATTTCTTATGCACACACATCATTACTACTGGAATTACTTATTGTAACCCAAGCAGACTTAAAGCCTGGAACTGATTTGAATCACTGTTTTCTTCTGATCACTTTAAGGAAACCTCTTTTGTTTTCAAAATTGTTCTTAAACAGATACATTGATGCTTGAACTGTTTCAAAATGTTGAGTTATCAAACAAAGTGACCAAAGCTTAAAAAAAGTTTCACACAACAAACATTAAATAATAAAATGCTAAATTAAGTTAGGTCAAATTATGTAGCAATGTACAAACTTACAATGAGAAACATAATGATGACTGACTATTATTAAATTAGAACTTAGACTGACCAACAAACCATTTAGTTGAGATTACTGGAAAAAAAGGGGTTATTACACCACAAACTCTACCACTATGTGAGTTAAATTTAAACATATAATCAATCAAAATGCACCACATGTTTATGCTGTTGCTTCAGTTTCAGTTGTTTTTTTCTAGTTATTGTTAGATTTAAATGTTATTTTTAAATGTGGCAATTACCAACCACCAATTGGATTATGGGTAAATGGGTAAAAGGATGGATTCCAATAAAGTAAAAACAAGACAAGTATCAAGGGAAAAGTCTTCAAACTTGGAAACCAAGATTGTTTTTTTTTTTACTTTTTTAGAATGACTGTCATCCGGATGACTGAGGATCTTCATCAGCATAAGGGATGGATAAATTTAAAATACAGTATGCTCAGCCTAATTTTAATTTTTTTGTTTTGTTTTGTTTAACAAAGCAATACAAATAAAGTTCGCCTATGGACCCTTGCAGCCATTTAACTGATTTTTACAGTTTAATTTATGGTGCTTGTTTCTATGTTACTAGTGGTGACTCAGAGACAGATTTAAGTCTTGGCTCTGGATTTATGCTGATTACAGAAAACTCTAAATAAGGCATGTTTAACAATGCACTGAGGATTTAAATCTATTTTCTCTCTATCTCTTTGTATTAAATGAATAGCTTGTTAAGCTCTTTAGCAAGTCTGAGGACCCCAAAGCAGTTTAAACTTCATTCAGCCATTTAACCATTTTCTGTCCACATTTATACGCTGATGTTTGCCTTTACATCAAACACTTTGTTGTGGTGTTTGAGCCTCTTTAATTGAGTCCATTCCTAAAGGTTAAGTTGATTGTAAATCCAAAACCATGCTGCCTGTTTTTAAGACTTTCATTGTTTCATATGACTTGTTTTGGGAAAGTTGTCTTAACCTGTACTGTTATATAATATTTGCACCAATCAGAGATCTGAGGCAGATTTTCTGATGTTTTTGTTAAGCTCTCATTTTGGGTTACTATTTGTAACCAATAAGTATTGGTGTGAGATCTTATAATTACCGATTTTTTTTCTTATTCTTATTATTTAAATCCCAGACTGTGGGAACTTATCATTTTTGTTGGTGAGCTGCAACTGCTTGCTTTTATTTTCCCAGTAGAGAACTCACAGCTGTGCTCACAAACAACTGAAGGTCTGGCTCTCTGATAATTGTCATGACAGAACTCTCATTTGTCGAGAGCTGTCATGACATTTGAGTTTATTTTTTTACCCTTCACCCACACAGTAGTAAACAAAGACTGTCATTTGAACAGCATTAGCTGCATCTGTTCACTCTACCTACTGAAAAGAAACTCATTTGCATGAAAACAAAAGCTGAATGTCATCTAAAAGTTCTTCATCTATACTTTTTCTTAGGTAATACATTCAGTAAGATTTTATCAGCTTTCAAACCAAGAGCGTGAAGGTGCTAGAATTTTATTTTATTTTTTCTGTCAGGTGTTTACTTATCTGAAGAAGTTTTTTTCATCTCAATGAAGACTGTGTTTATATCTTTAACAATAACAGACACCTCACTTATTTAATTCAAATAACATTGTTTTAAAAGTCCTAACCTAACAGTCTTCTCTGGGCCTCATACTGTATTAATGCTCTTTGGCTGCCTCAAACTATGAGGTATCGATATAACCCACACAACATTCGTGTTTTACTGTTCTTCTAAACACTAACACAAAACTGCATAAATCTTAGTGCAGATTAAAACAATGGTTTATCAAATAAAATATGATTTGTTTGAGTTCCTCTCCACTTGAAACCTGTATGCTTAACAGTCGTTTTTTTTAACGGTTAAACCAGTTGGTCTTTTAAAACAACATCTTTGCATTAATTTTACTACATGGTATGAGTTATGTTTGATTTGACTTGAATGTTTATGAGCCTATTACTTTTTTGGATCTATAGATCCAGTTTAAGGTATGGGCTGAGACAGTTTTTTAGGTTTGATGTCAGAGTCTCTGGCTGTTCTACGCTTCCAATATATATTGGTTAGGAAATATCTACAGTATCACTTTAGGTAATGAACTCTTTATTTAGAAATGAGTCCAAGGTTTTTTTAAAGTTCACAAGTTTAATATTTATATATATAGTCTGTATCAATTGCTCAACCCAAGGAATCTGGATTTTCCCTAATATCCTAGATGTCAGAGAGAGAGGCTGTAGTGGTGTCTACTGTCTGCCTCTATAAGACACATGTGCACAATTATTTCTGCATGTTTTGTCAGATAGAATTAATTTGAATCAATTTGGGTCAGTGTTGTTGCTGACCCACAAATCATAGTTAACATGGTGATGTTAGCCTAGAACTTTAGTTAAATTCCCACAACAGGGACTTTGTAGGTTTGTTTAGATTTTTGACACAACATTGGAAACACACGGCTGTCCTGCAACAAAATGCTTTAATTTTAGAGAAAAAAAATCCTACCAGCAATCCAAGATGAGGGGGCCAGAATGAATCCTCCAGTGCCTAAAGGCAGTTGTTGCTGCCAAACAAAGCAAAACAGCTGTAAGGTTTTGGTGGAGGTTCCTTTTTTTGCATGTGTCACCTTATTTTGCCTTTCTTTTACTTTGTGTATTTTTTTTTATTCATGCTGACTAACTTTCCTTTATAATATTTGTTTGATGATTTGAGATACTGGAAACGATAAAAGTAAAACTGGAAGAAATCTGTAAGAATGTCAATACTTTTTTACGGCACCATATGATATTTAACTGTATTTTTTCTTTTAGGGAGAGGAAGGAAGCCAGTGGAGCGCAGGGAGCATGTGAAGAGACGTCACAGAATTGGGGGAGTCACTGGTAAAAAGAAGCAGAGAGATGAAAAGGAGAGAGCCCAAAGAAACATCAAGGATTAAAACTCACATATTCCCAAAGAGTAAAGATGAAATGATAAAAAAAAGATCTATCATTGAATTATCTCTTTACTTTTAGTATCAGCAGGCATAGGGACATAAGTGGGAAAAATGACAGCGAGGAAAGGAAGACAAGAAACTATAAAGCAAAGGCCAAATATGTTGAAAGGCCTTGGAAAGCAACTCTACTATCTAAGAAAAGAAATGAATATTTTAATGAGCATATGACTAACAAATCTGCTTGAAAAGAATTATCTCTAAAGGTTTTAGATTGTAAAATTGATTATTTTTTTCTCTTTATAATCCTCTAAGTTCTCTGCTTATTGTTAATTTTCTGGTTGTAGCTGTTTGAATCCATGTGAAATCGAAAAGTCTGAACTCTTTTTGCCAAATGATTTTTATTGAGCCTTTTACCATCAGATATACTACACAGACCGAAGCGTGACAGACAGAACCACAGTAAAGAGACCTCAGGCCATCCACTGTTACACAGAAACCTACTCAATTTTTTTCTTGAAAGTAAGAAAATTAGTAAGGCCTCCACAAATGTTCTTATTTAAATGTTATTTGTTTACATGTTATGAACACATTGATCCTTTATTTTTTTCATACATTTTCTTTGTCAGTGGTTTTCAATAACTTAGCCATAGCTTCTGAGACAACAGAAAAAAACCTCACAGACTACTACTTGGCAACGTGTCTTCAGCTCAATGGATGAAGATGACAACCACTGTCAGTACAAACATAATAAAGCCTACGTTTAAAGGCCGTACGACAAACAGAAGAAACATATTACAAGTGCTTGGTTCAGTAGGTTTTTTTATAGACACCCAACATTTACGTAAAGAAATGTGAGTCCAGCTTAACGCATATCCTAATATGTATCTATTGAAATTGGCAACAAGTCTTGTCTCCATTCAGTCCTTCCACCCCACTCACTGGATGCTGTTCAAGATGCAGACAATGTCCTTTAAATGTTCAGCCAGTTTAGAATTTCCGTAGGGGCAAGTCATCCTTCTGGTAACAGTCCAGTCTCTTATCTGTACCCCTGCAAAGTCCTGGCAAAGTCCTTCAGCCCATCTGCAGTGAGGTATCCACACAGCCACAGCACAGTCATGAGCTCCTCTCCCACACAGCAAGCTTAGGGTGGTCGGCCAGTCTACAGTTCTGCCTTCCACATTCCTTGTCATTGCCGATAAAGCGGTGCTGGATGGCTTAGAGCACCGTTACAGCAGACTGCCAGGCCAAGACACGATGGTCAGAGTGATTCTGCCCCGGAGCTCCTTCAGAAGACGAACCAGAGCTGTGTGCGTCATCCCCCATGTGCTCTTCCCGTTCACCTCAAGCAAGATGTCCCCACATCTTCAAAGACAGACATAACAAACCTTTCTTAATTAATTTGTCACATCGAAGGGAATCTGAAATATTTTTTTAATGGGCTGCAGTATTTAAATATACCTTATCCTGCCATCATTGTAGGCTGGTGTTCCCTCCACGATGGAGCGGATAAAAAAAGATTGATTGCAGTTGACCTCCTCCTGACCTCCCACAATGCTGAAGCCCAGACTGCCCGATGTATTCCGCCGCAGGACGATGTCTTTGCAGCAGTAGAGATGTCTGCAGGAGCCAAGAAGAAGATTAAGCACACTAATCTCTTAGTTGAACCTTTCAATTACAAACAGTACATCTTTCTAGAGTATGTATGCAGCAGAAAAGCTAATAAAGCCGACCCTCCAACTTCAGTGGATCACAGCTTAATGGAAAAAAAAGTCATAGCCTTGAAATATTTACAATTTGCCACATTAACACAACTAATTTTTTATTGGGTTTTTATGCGATAAGCCAAACTAAAGTAGTACACAAATCGATTAGTGAAAGGATACATTGCTTTATTTATAACATTTAGTACTTGTTACCACATTCTAATGAGCTTGTTAAAGGGAAAACACATCAAAATTGCTTTTTAGTTTTGTATAAGCAAGAAGAGTGGCTGTTTATTAGTGTCAGAGCAAGGCTGTTACCATGACAACGTAAAAGCCTCTTATATAACATTAATAAAAGCCTTTAGTCCTTGCAGGTTTAATGATTTATTAGTATTGAATATAAAAAAAAATAATAATAATGATAGTTTCTTTCCTACTGCTTCTGTCAAAACGTCAGGGTTCACCAGCTGGCAGAGGTTAAAAAATAGACCTGTTCAAGCTGCGTGAACTGTCCTTAAAAATATCTATAGTGAAGACTAAGGTCACAGCAGGGTGCTTACCTGGGAAGCTGCAGCCACGAGACCCACAGTGGGGAGTAATCGTCATTAGGTAGTGGGCTCTTGGTGCTCTCTGTTGGGGACGGCGTGAGACAAGGCGGCAATGTGCACTCCTGCATGCTGTCCTCTGGTGGACGCATCTCCAAGACCTTGAGCACGACAGGAGACGAGGTGTTCTTCAAGTTGGCCACGGCCTCACCTCGTGTCACCCCTGTCAATTCCATGCCGTTCACGTTCAGCAAAATGTCACCTATTGGTGGGAAAGAGGTGACAGCAGAGCTTATCGTCACTACAGCATTAGTGCCCTGATATCTTCTTTGGAAAGACATCATAGAACCTGCGCAGCTCTTCTCCCTGCTTAATATTCACCATACTTGCAGCTGGATTACAAAGAGAGTGAAACCAAAGGCCAGCTGGGTTTTTGAAGCCTGCTAATGATGAAAGTGATGCAAAGCTGGACAGCGCAAACCAGCTTGCTAGTAAGCAACACAAAAGACACATTTGCCCTGCGAGAAAACGCAAATGAATGCACCGTCACAATCACACAGAGACAGCTGCTGCTGCTGTGTCCCCGACGAATACAGTAATGTGCACCTTGAACCGTACACAAGGCAAAAGACTTATTGCTAATTTTATGAGGTATTCATATTAGTGTTATGCCCCATCACAATATTTCTGTCCCTCCTCTCATAAAAGAAGCTTCAGCTGGGGATAAGTGGCCAGGGAATGGGCTCTAACAGGTTGGGTTGCTTGAATCAGCATTCACAGTGCATCAGCTTTTCCATTCAAAGCGCCTAAAGATTTCGATGTTTTTGTCACATTGCAACCAAAAACAATGTCTTTTCTGACTTTTATCTTGTAAATAATTGGAAAATTAGAATGTTTAGATAGATATGTAGTCTTCAAAGGTGTTTAGAAAAGAGAATCTCTATAGTTGATACTGCTATCACCATGATTTAACGTGATCACAATGTTCATGGTGATGAGGATGCAGTTTAGTGTTTTTTCAACACATGGATGTTGCAAAATATTGACTCTGCATGGCGTTTGATGAATTGCTATTCTGACTAGAGAGATGAGATGTGCCAGGTTCTTATTTTACTTGTGGGAAACTGCCAACAAGTGTAATTTCTTTCAACACTGGCCATTTTCTTTCCCCTTTTCCATAAAGGCAGTGCAGGGAGTACCGACTTTAAAATGTAATGGCGTTTGTTAATGTGTCTTTTTATTTTTTATTTAAGGGAAATAAAAATGTTATGGTACTTGTAATGACATTGTGTTGCTGCCATCTGATTGATTAATGCAGTCTGTGTTGTAGGAGAGAACTGCTTTTTTTGTGTGTAAATAGTCTATTTTTCTTTGTTAAGCATTGCACCTGTAATATAGCCAATCCAAGCCTTTGAACATCCGTCAATATTAAGTTCTAAAATATCTTGTTTGCTTTCTTGTTCTTTTATTAAAACCCTTAAACAGAACCACATCTACATCAATATATTGCAATTGAGTGTCTTTACTCTCTTCTCCAGCTACAAAGAAACCAAAGGAATGCGGATTATAGGGATGTCCCAATACAACTTTTTCAGATGAGATACTGATGTTACAGCTTTAAGTAATGACCTGATACGACATCAGCATTAATCAGACATACTATTATTATTACTCTTTCTGTAAAGTAGCATGTTAGCCAAGGTTTGATGAAGTCATATTTCTCAAACAGAGAACAATAACCAACTATAGTCGGCATGAACACAACTAAGGCATCTTTTATCAACCAATGACTTACATGAATGTCAAACAGAGGCAGATAGAAGCAGAGGGTTTTTATCAGCTTGCTTGAATCAGAGATTTTAAATATATTTTTTTAGCTTTTATAGATCTCTGATATCAACATAGGATTGGAACATTTGTAGCAGATTTATAAACAAAGATTTCAAATATGTTTCCCTACTTATTAATTCATAATAAAAATCAATCCACAGTTTTCCTTTCAGCAAATTCTCCCACCCGAGTTGTGGATCTTCGCAGCTCCTTCACAGTTATTGTGGGTCTTTTGTCTGCCTCTGTGATTTACACTGTTTTGCCTGACCTATGAGTTTAGGTGGACATCCATCTCTCTGTAGTTTTCAGTTGCACCATATTCTTTCCATTCTGAGATGATTGTTGGAAAAATGCCTCATGAAATGATAAAATGTTTGTTTCTTTATCTTAAAACTCCTTTAAATTTCTTAAAAACTTTTTCCATGAAATGTTTGCTCTATCGCTTTATCACTAACAAACCTCTGATTTATTCACATAACATTTGTACTTAGAATAAAGTCCACAAAGCTGGACTATCTACTAATTAGCTAGATTCATTTAGACGGTTGCACAATATTTGACTTAAAGATATCAGATTAAAACGGGCTAATCACACCCTTTTCAGATTTTTATTTATGCTATAATTTGTGTTTGTCTAGTTTTTAACTGTAACTTGGCAAGCTGCCAATAATGAGCGGATAGGAATACTTTTGTGAAAATATGTTTTTGTAAATCTGCTCCAACATGTAATACATTTTCATCGCTGATCTGCAAATGTTTGTGTTTTTATTGAGAGGGAAACAAATCTGCAGAGCAATGAACTACATCCGCAGCAGAGTTTTTCCGCTGGATGATTAACCTTCATAATGAAAGACGAGTATGAAGCGCTCATCCATCATTTTCTCTGTGCTCTTCTCTATAGAAAGACTGATCCGTGACAGACAGACTGCAGTAATCTCTCTGATCTACACAACACTAACAAAGCATAACAAATAAGAGTAATCAGTAGTAATTACAGGTCATTAAATGTATTTCCCTGAAATTTCCATCATAAATCAGATAATGTTCGTAATACCTTTGCGAATGGATCCCTCCTGTCCCACCACTCCATCCGGGTCCACATTTGTGACATAGATGGGAAGGTCCCATCCCCTGCTAGACATGCCGCCAGCCACTGTCATACCCAGTGAGTCGTATGGCTCCTTGGTTAGTGTGACTGTTTTCTCGTAGCATGCAGGCTTTTGACAGGAGTCCTTTACGAGAAACAGAGAAACAAAAAAATGTTATTTTTAACACAAGTTTCCAGAATACAGTTTAAAAAGTAATACAAATGGCTGTAAAGTGTACAATGGTGGATGGCAGACATATGGACCTATTTATTAATTTATAATGTATGTATGATGGGTGGAGGTACAGGTAGGGACTAACAGAGTAATGGATTGGTATAAGGATTAATTATTTAGCAAAGGCGTAGAATTCAGCACCATTTAAATGTTTTCCAGAATAAGTAGGAACCCAGCAGGCTCTAAATGTCACTACTGAAGCATTTTAACGTATAGTCATCTTATTATTATGAAAACAATAAAGTAAAGCATGCTAGGAGCTAACACCAAGGGCACCTTGTTCAAACTGCATGCTCTAATTAAAATTTCGAGGAGCTAATTTGCATAATAATAACGTCTATTATCTCTAAGACTTGCGATAATGCTGAAAAGTCAACTGGGTGCCATCCATGGAATGCCACTCTAATGTCACACTCATAGAGGATAGGTAATTGATGAATGACCTCATTAGCATAACTGCTTTGGAATGATATATGATGTTAAGTACTTTAGCATGTCAGCCGATTCAAGTGCCCCCTCAGTCTTGTTCAGCACAGACTAACTAATTAATTCATATGCACACTATGATGTTTGTGGGAAAAGTGGGTTTAGACTTTATTTATGGTGAGATTGTAGGAGAGAACAACACATCCAGACACATTGAGGTTGATGGGCTGGAGCTTGTCCTGCTATGGTAATGTGCTGCTTGCGCACATTTCGGCTGAGCTTACAGCGGATCACTTCCAGTCACGTTATTGACCCGAGGGCACTGCACTGACTCAAGCTGCGCCGAAGTTCTCCATAATCAGAGGCCTCATACGTGTTACGCAGCATGTGAATCACATCTCCTGCTCTCCTGAGCGGTGCTGTTATTAAACCTTAATGCTGTCTCATGAGCTCTAAAGGTTTTGCCACAACCAACCAGAGTCACTGTATCTTTTTATGGACACGCTGAGACAATAAGCTGCTGGTCAAATAGATGAAAATGTAATGAAGCCACGGGAAGAAATATCAAAGGGTCCACAGGGGGTGCATCTTCAGTTCTAGGTAATAATGGGCTATTACCCTGAATGTATCTGAATACTAATGTTAATATACACAATGTTCATATAACAGGTAGATCAGTTCAGTGTCTGGTTTGTTTTTAAGCACCTGTTGCTTTGTTTTGCTGGTAGTCTTTCAAACTATTTGATCCCCTATAGGAGAGGACTGATGGTTGTACCACATGTCACCAGTTTCCCCATTAAAATGAATCACATCCTCCATGTCTTATATCTTTGTTTCCGTGCAAAAAAAAAAAAAGCTCCGTTTGTCAATTCAAGCATTATTTGTGAGTGTTGCTGCAAGGACCTCTGTCCTCTCTGCTTGATTCCCTTAACCTCACCAAATGCCTCTTTGTTTAACTGTCTCTTTTTTTTTTTTTTACCATGGGCCATGACTAAACCATTACTGCGTTAATTTAGCTATTTCCTTTCTGTGATTTCTCCCAAGTATTTTAGATTCTGAGTTAAACTGCGCCTCTTTCCTCAAAAGAGTCAAGTACAAAGCCAAAACCAGTTGTCATTGAAACTGCAGACTTACAGCAATGCAAAGCCTATATTAATGCATAAATAACCTATTTTCTTTCTTGTTGTCACTCTATGCTTGACCCCTCCCACACACTCTCTTCTCAGCTGGTTATAGCTCAGACCAACCTGGGTTCTGAGTTGGTATGGGTTAATTCGACATCTTTAACCAAAGACCCTTTTAAGAGAGTATGAAAAACCCTACAATGCTGAGCTTACTTAAAATAAGTTTTAAGTTCCATCCATCCATCCATCCATCCATCCATCCATCCATCCATCCATCCATCCATCCATCCATCCATCCATCCATCCATCCATCCATCCATCCATCCATCCATCCATCCATCCATCCATCCATCCATCCATCCATCCATCCCCAATTTATTATAACTGTAAAACATGCATATACGACTTACATATAAATACATTTAATTGAATAAACTCTATCCAAAACTCGGTATAAGGTTGTATTATTTTAGTTCTTTTGTTTAAAATCCATCCATCCATTTTCTTGCGCTTATCCGGTTCTGGGTCACGGAGGCGGCGGTCTAAGCAAAGATGCCCAGACTTCCCGATCCACACACACTTCCTCCAGCTGCTCTGGGGGATCCCGAGGCCACACTAGCCCAGCTCAGAGACATACCGTATTTTCACGACTATAAGGCGCACTTAAACGTCTTTTTTTTCCCTCAAAATGTGCGGTGCGCCCTTTGGTGCGGTGCGCCCTATGTGTGTTGTAACTGCGACTTTTGAGACCACCTCATTGAGGAGATGATGAAAGAGTGGCTGAATGTAAGGAGACCAGGTGTTTTTTTTCCACTCATCACCATCGCTGTTAATATGTGACTCCATGCGTGCCCATCTCACAGCTGATGTGAAAAACATGGGGAAACAAATTAACGCTGTGCTCGCTGTTCAACCGCTCGACATCGGTGTGAACCGGACCCAGCAGGTGCAGCAGAAGCAGCGAGTTTACATGCAAAGTCAATGGTTGACGCGCGTATAGGTGCAGTAAAAGGTCCCGCAGCGCGTTTTGAGCCGCAGGTGCAGCACGTCGGGAGCGTTTAAGCATCTGACGCACCGCCAACGCGCTGCTGCTGCTCGAGATGGAAAAATTGAAGTTTTGCTGCTGGACGCGCCGCATCAACCAATCAGAGAAGCTGATCTGGGAGCTGACAGCGAGACAGACACAGCGCTCTGATGACATATGATATTAACGCAAAGAAAAGGGCTGGATGGATGAGGAGATGATGAAAGCGTGGCTGAGGGAGGTGTATGTGAGGAGAACAGGTGTTTTTTTCCACGCATCACCATCGCAGTTAATCTGTGACTCCATGCGTGCCCATCTCACAGCTGATGAGAAAAACATGGTGAAAAAAAATAAACGCTGTGCTCGCCGTTATCCCGGGAGGTCTGACAAAGGAACTTCAACCGCTCGACATCGGTGTGAAGCGGCCGTTCAAAGTAAGGCTGCGAGCGGCGTGGGAGCGATGGATGACAGACTGAGACCACAGTTTCAGGATAAGTGGAAGGCAGCGCCGGGCAAGTTACGCCACCGTTTGCGGATGGATTGTAGATGCTTGGACTAACGTGTCTGCTGGCTCTGTTGTTCAAGCTTTCGCAAAAGCCGGCATTATTTCTGAGGAGCCGCCCGGCACGGAAAGTGACTCTGACAGCGAAGATGGGAAACTGGCATGTCTGATTTAGCGCAGCTGTTTAATTCAGAAACAGAGGATGATGACTTTGATGGGTTTGATTACTACTCTGTAATAAATACATGAATAAAGCACAATCATACTCAGTTTTGCCCCCGCTCTATTTTTCTACCTGAAAACTTAATTCAACAGCAGCCTCTGGGCGGGTCTCCTCCTCTTCACAGCGGTGGCTGGCAGGTGTTTTTTCATCTAAATAATCTAAATCTTGCAGCTATATTTGCTGTGATCAGTGGGAATAAAGTAGTTTTAATATGTTTTTAAGTGAGAAAGTCCACCTGAAAACTTAATAATTGCAGTCAGTTCATCCAGATTATCTATTTCTGTCGGAGGCGCTCAGACCCCCACATACCAGCGGTGCACCGACAGCAGAAATCCTTTCATCAGCAGCCTCTAAGCAGGGTAGCCTCCAGGTTCACCGCGGCTGCTGGCAGGTGTTTTTCCTCTAAATAATTTTAGCTGCAGGCTTATACCGGCAATAAAAGCGAACAAATTCCGTCGGCAGGTTTCAGGATTTTAAGTTAATTTAGGAGTGATCACAGCGCTGTGTCATCTGCGATGTGTTTGTCTCACGGCCAGCACCCTGGTTTGATTAATAGTTTGTAATAAATACATGAATAAAGCACAATCATACTCAGTTTTGCCCCCGCTGTATTTTTAAATACGCAGTAGAGGTATTTCAAGGTAGTAGAGGACATGTACCTGTATATAAAAAACGCGCCCTATAGTCCGGTGCGCCTTATGTGTGTGTTAAATACAGAAATGGGACACATAACTAAGAGTGCGCCTTTTAGTACGGTGCGCCTTATGGTCGTGAAAATACCCTCCATCGTGTCCTGGGCCTTCAATGAGGCCTCCTCCTAATGGGACATGCCTGGAACACCACCCAAGGAAGGCGACCGGGAGGCATCCGAGACAGATGGCAGGCCACCTCAGCTGGCTCCTTTCGAAGTGGAGGAGCAACGATTCTACTCTGAGCTCCTCCCGGGTAACTGAGCTCCTCACCTGATCTCGAAGGGTGTGCACAGCCACCCTGCGAATGAAACTCATTTCGTCCGCTTGTATTTGTGATCTTGTCCTTTTGGTCATTACCAGGATCTCATGACCATAGGTGAAGGTGGGAACGTAGATTGCTCAGTAAATTGAACGACAGTCCTATACAGCGACAGCATCACTGCAGACGCTGCACCGATCTGTCTATCCATCTCACGATCCATCCGTGCCTCACTCGTGAACAAGACACCAAGATACTTGAACTCCTACACTTGACACAAGAACTCTGCACCGACCTGAAGAGGGAAGTCCACCTTTCTCCGGTGGAAAACCATGACCTTCGATTTGGAGGTGCTGATCCCCATACCGGCTGCCCCACACTGCAAACTGGCGTACAGTATTCACTGTACTGGCATACAGTGCATTTTTGTAAAAAATCTTGTATTAATTCAATTGTGCCATCTGCTTATTATTCAATTATTAAAAAAAAAATTGTCAACAAGTAATTTGATTATCGAACTAATTGTTGCAGCCCTACATTCCAATATTTTCCAGTAGGATGTTTGCAAGGCAGACATAAGAGGGCCTTTAAAAAAAAGAAAAAAAAATGATGGTAAAGCTAAAGTATGTATGAAAAATTGACAAACAATCTGATATTTATCTATAAAAAAGTCAGAGCATTTTGCAAATTTTTAAAACAATATTTTTCAACTTAGAAATTCATTATCTAAACAGACTTTCACCATATATCGCTTAAATTAATAAAAATAGTATAGTAGTTCCAGGATTACTTCTTAGCTTTATTGTTTCTGCCTTTTCTTAAGAACAAAATATGTATTTATTCTCTGCATTGTTTTCTATTCTATTTGATTAAAACAGTTTTCTCAGCTGTTATTCAGTTTAACAGTTGTGTTTGTTTGGTATTGCAGAAAAATTGACAAACTTCCTGCAGTAGTTCTACCACCTCAACAAGGAGGACCTCTGTTGTAATGCATTAACTAGTTTGATAAGCTGAAGTTCTTTTAGCATTGTTTTTTTACGTATTGACATTTTTTATTCTTTAATGTATTCATTTGTTCATGCCTTTTAGAAGTCAAAGTTTCATCTAGATTTTTTGATTTAGGACTCAAATAGTATCACTATATAAAACTATGAGGTATTTTTATTTAGCACACCAACTGGTATAGTAAAGGAAATAAACTTAGAGGATAAAATAAATCACTTTTCTCACCAAAATCTTCTAAAGATGTTGAACGCATTGTACTATTGCTAAAAAATTATTTATTCACATGACAAGCTGAATGAACACTAAGGTTATAAATTCAATCCCATTTGTTTGTCCTAACAGGAGAAGAGAACGGATAGGAATACTTAGTTTGCTGGATAAATGCTGTAAAGTAGTTTAGCTGATATGAATACAGCAAATCTGCAAGGATAGTAGACTTTCCTGCTTGTCGTTGAATGAAATGCTTGATTTTGATTGGAGAATAATTGCTCCATGAATCATTTGTACCTGAGAGGGAATAATTATCAAAAGAACAAAGCTTTTCTCTGTGTGTTTAGTAGTGCTTTTTTCTCCTGCGTATGTATTTGTTCTTCTCTTACCAGCAGCGTTTGTTCCATATCCACAGGGGAGTATGGTGGGGGACCATCCATGCCCCACGGTCCTTCTGGTAGGATGTCTGGGGTAGGCAGGCAGATCTGACGAGATACGATGAAATGCACACACTGCTCGCTTGCCTAAAACCAACGACAAAACAACAAAAGCCTTTTTTGAATCATTTGCAAATTGATATGTGTTATTTTCATTAAGTAAAAACATATGTTTAAAATGATTGTTTTCTTTGGAAAAAAAGAATCCCCTCTATCTGATCCCCACTTTTACCGTTGTGTATTAACACTCACTGCCTCACAGTCACAGACTGGATGTTTGCAGCCGTCTCCCTGCTCTCCTATTCCTTGTGAGATTTTTGCCAGTCTGTGTAACACAGCACCGAGGCCCGAATTAGCCAGTCAAACCCATTATTGCTCTAATTGGACTAATTCAGTTTCTTCCCTGCCAGTTCTTAATCTCTGACAGAAAGTGGCTGCTCTGAGAGGCCATCTTGGCTCCATAGAGATTTAAAAGAGCCAGTCAGACTGCTCAGACAGGAACTGTGAGCCCAGAGACCTTCCACACTCAGCCATAAACATGCAGTAATTAACCACTATTAACCAAATACACGCCATCACAGGCTGGCATCAACCAGGAACCAGAGGCGGCCGCACGGCCCCTGGTCCATTGGGGAGTCGCCACAATTAAACAGCATTAACTGCAGTGAGTGCAGACACGACAGCACAGCTCAACACAATTAGCTTGAATCACCACAATTATCTTTAATACCTCAGGGAGGCAGAGTAGGAGCAGAGCACAGTTGGTTGTGGTCGGAAACAGAATTTAGGTTGAATTTGTCACAACTGTGAACTTTGTGAGGGAAGTTAATGGTTTATGTGTGGCCTGCAGCCACCGCTGACTGACCTGGATAAGCAAAGCGGCGTGCTCCGGCGCCCCATAACGAAGATCATGCCCGTTGATGGCCAGCACACGGTCCCCTATGCACAGCTGCCCATCACGTGCAGCAAGCCCCCCCTCCAGCAGGTGAAAGATAAAGACCCCATGCTCCTCTGCTCGCCGGACCAGTTTGATCCCTAGCTGTTCCTCTGGAGTGCTCTTATTCAGGACCACGTGGACGCTGTCATCTCTAACCGGATGGTGGGGTAGGCCAAGAGACTGCTGCACACCCGCACCATGAGTGTGGCCGTGCGAGTGGGAACGGTAGCGGTGCCGCTGTTCTCTGAGCACGGTTAGCCGCAGGAGTTGGCACGGCTGTCTAAGGGTTGTCACAGCAAAATAGTGAGGCACATTGCTTATGTCAATGCCATTGACCTGGAAGGGAGAGAAAAAAGAAGTGTAACTCTAGATATGACCACTTGATGTTAATTTACTTCTTTTTATACCTTTAGAATCATGTCCCCAGGCAGCAAGCGGCCATCCCGAGCAATGACACCCTCTCTGTAGATATCCTGGATCAGGATGCGAACCAGAGGGGTCTCATTGCCGCCAACGATGCTGATGGCCAGCGGGTCGGAGGGATCCTGTCGTGTGATCTTAATACTGGTCAGTTCACCATCTGGGATCAGGTGATGAAGCTGAGGAAGAGCCAGCACTGATGGAGAAAATATGGAGAGCTTGATTAAACGGGAGGAAATGGTGTAAATAACCATGACCTTGGTAACCTTGGTAAATAACCAAGACCATGGTGGAGAGGTTCAGCTTAGGAACCAGCTGCCTCTTCTTTATAAAAATACTAAAATAAGGTTTTATAAACCGAGAGGAAATTTTTTTTTTTGCTTAGTGTCTTTTGCTTATGTGCTGCAAGCTGTGTTGCTGTACAAGACAGCTTGCAAAACTGGCTGTAGTTTGTGAATCTAAAATGTGTTTTCATAAAGTTTATTTTGCGACGTATCTCATCAGTTTGTGAAATGAAATTCATAATTTTCTGATATCTCCAAAAAAGTTCGTCTAACCTTTTCACCTTTTTTTTTTTTTTTTATCAACAACACACTTCTCCTTGATTTGTCTTATTTATTTTTTTACTGATTAAAAATCAGTGGGGTCCAAATAAAGAAAATCAACATCTAGCAAAGGTCTGGAGACATTTTTATTTATAATCCGTTACTTTAAACAGCATTTAACTCTGAAATTAAATGCAGGTGTTTATTCGTCCATGTTACATTAAATTTTTACAAAAAGATATAAAGAATTTCATTTTAAAATCTAAATTGTTTTTGAAGTAGAGAACAACAATCTTTCAGTTTAGTATATAGACAATATCCTGACTCACTTTTTTTCTTTCTTTCTTTTTTATGGCCTAATGAGAGCAGTGGGCTTTAGGCTGACCTGCAAGGCTTTAAACCTGGGTTTGATTGGTGACAAAGCCATTCTCAAGCACAATCAAGGTTCTCATTTTGAGCCTGGATAAATATTTATTTTTGATGGTGGAGAATCCTGCTTCACAGCAGCAGGTACAGTAGAGCCAAAAATACTCAAAATGTGCAGGTTCATCTTTGAGCTCACCATTTCACTTTTCATTTACTAGTTCACAGAGCTTCTTCCAGCAATCCACACTTTCTCTACTCTCTTTCTGTCATTGTCTTCTCCTTCTTTCCCATTGCCTGGCTATCCACAGGTTTGCCTGCTGTGTCTAAAAGAAGCTAGCATCAGCAACCCAGACTGACAGCTCATTGGATAATTTGTATCACGTGCAGCCTGGTCCCAGATGCTCTACCATACAAACAGGAGAAGCGGCACAAGTGAAGTTAGACACTGTCGTTGGACAACATGCAGTAATTTATAAATGTTTTAAATCAGGTTTGGTCCAGATGTTGGGAACTGGAAGAAATGGAATACATGTAGCATGTATTGCGTATGTAAAATGCAAATCCCTTTTTTCAGGATTTTATTTGTGGTAAGTTTAATAGTCATGTATAGAAATTCCTCTACTTTCTGTATATCTTTCAGGGAAACTTTCATTAAAATGGTTTAAGATTTATCATTGTAAAATAACATTGTTGGAAAGTCCATTTTAAAAGGCAAATACACTTGTCTCTTAATTTTTCTCTTTCCTTTGTGAATCTGCCTTTTCCCTCAGACACAGCGGTGAATTCCACATTGTAATCTGAATAATTTGCAGTAGCATCTTTGGTCATGGGCTTTGACCAGTCACTATCAGAGAAGACATATTTCTCACCTTGGGTCTTTTACTTTGGTAAAAAAAAACTCTCTCTCCTCTTATTCCTCTGAGAACTGTCCCCTGTCTCTGGGCAGTCGCCTCTGTGGTTCATTCTACCCAGTGCTGCACTTTCTCCTTTCCAGAGTCAATATTTTGTCTTTATCACAGCACATTGCTTCAGGGGTGCAGAACACTCACTGAGACCTGCAGCTCTTATGTAACCCTTTTTCTCACCATTACCACCATTTGAGTCTCTTCTTCAAACTCATAATTCTAAAATTTCTTATTCATTTTTATGCACAGGAACTTTTTAATGCAATTATTTTTACTATTATTTGTTTCTAACTAAATCTGCATCCATCTTTTACCTTTTACACAGTACGGCCCGCTCTCTCCCTTACTCTGAGCATTCAATTAATATTTAAACGGTTCTCTCAGCCTCCTCAGTGATGGCCTTTGAGAATCATCTACTCTCCAGTCATTTGTCATTCTTCATTCTTACATAATACCATATTCCTTCTCTACATCCCACCCTGCTGGGTCTTTAACTCTACATAATACTCTATTATGGTGGACTACATTTCTTCAGTTTAAAATGCTTCTGTATTGCATTTTTTTTTTAATTTACTTTATGAGGTGTTATTAATATGTAATACTCTCCCTGGGCACTACTTTGACAAAGATGATTCAAGCCTGAAGGTGAAGAGGGGGGATGAAGGGATGCAGGGTCACTGAGGATGCAGAGGACGAATCAGAAGATGGATAGGAACAACAGACAGTGGAGAAGGGGGAGAATCATGTGATCTGCCTCATCTCAAGTGACCTCTGATATACCATCACTATGCAAAATGCCTCAGGCTACCACTCTCTCTTCTGATTTCTCAGGAGAGATGCAGAAGACCAGTGGCCTTCTGCAATCTGTGGCTAAATTATTAAAGAAACATATGCTTCTGCTGTTGCACCCAAGGCCTAAAGTCATATCACCTTCCTTGCATAGCTAAGGGGAACAGAACAAATATAAACATTTGGTTAACACTAGTGATGCGCCGATTGCCATTTTTTGGCCCCTATACCTGGCTTTGCAGTATTGGCCGATACCATACCGATACCATCTGTTTAAAATTAATGTGTGTGTAAATATATGAAGAACTGCATACTACTTGGATGTAAAATTATGGCTTTGTCAAGCTGCTGCCTACCTTTGTGAATGAGGAAAAAGACTAATAATAAAGTGAATCCAGTAGAACTTTTTATTGCCTACCTGGAATGGATGACAAAAGCTGAATAGTCATTTGGCTCTCTAAATGGTATCGGTGCCCTATTTGTCGGCACTCCCCGATACTGATACCACCATTTTAGTGCAGTATCGAGGCCCTGCTCAATACTGTATCGGTATCGTTGCAGCACTAGTTAACACATGCACTTCCTAGTCTGTGTCTATTAAAGTACCTTTAGGAATCACACAGATTGATGTAAGAAGCTTTGCTCCATACCCTCTGGAGGAACGCTGGAATTCCTGGCGTTGTCTCTCTCCTCTGATGTCTCATTGCTGACCGCAGTGCCACTCTTGGTCCTCCGTAGGACGCTGAATGCCCGGTTTAACCTCCTGAAGGAGCGGCTCCTCACTGAAGATCGGTCAAAGTTTCTGACTGCAGAAAGGAGAGAAGCCTTTTATAAATGAGCTCACTTGCAACATGCCCAGACATGTCTGAGTCAGTTTCCAGCCAATCCCTGACTCTCTACTGGTAAAACCTTATGCAGGATATCGTACTGATGAATTTAAGAATTAAAAAGAGAGCAGGTTTGGTAGGATTGAGTTTTATGTTTCATACATACTTTTGGCATAGAAACTACAGAAATAAATAGTGTTTTATTGATGCATTACATCAAAGGGAATCTATAGGGATTATGCTGCTGTCATCTATAGGGAAAGTAAGACTAAACTCCTCATCAATCTCTGCATTTCTAAAGTGCGATTTGCAGACCTGCATATGACCCTTTTGAAACTTCCTGAAAAGGACACACCTGCTTGACTTTGTGTTTGCTCAGCTGTGCAAAAAATAGAAATGAAAAAGTAATGTTTATTTTAAACCCTGCAGAACTCCTGCTGTAAACATGCATGGACAATGTCAAATGTTTTTACATCTCTGTGTATCAGAAAGGTACTTGAATACTAATTAATTTCAGTAATCGACTTCCAAAAGGGAAATTCCAGTTATCTAAATTCATAACACAGTGATTTTAAGTGGGGATTTCTGTTCATTATTTTGACAATTATAGCTTTAAAACACATGAAAATCCAAAGTGTAATTTCTTAGAAAATATAAATGAAACATAACTTCAATGAAAAATAAGTACTGTTTACAAATGGCTGACAGTTCTGTCAGGGTAGCAGTTATTCTTGTTTTCTGTGAATCATTTTCTTTCAGTTTTTCCTTCCATCTAGCTTCCCATTTGACATGTCTGCATACAGCAAAGGTTATAAGCAGTTATTTTCTCCATCGTTGTTGATGTTGTTACTGATTGTCTGTTAGTTAATTGAAAAATCGCCAGTCTTCCCCATAATTATATACAGTAGGCCATATAACAATCGTTATCTTTTCAAGACATAACCATCAAAACATACCAAAATGAACTCTTGAAATATCTTACTGTTTATAATGCATATTTCTCATTTTCACTTCTTGGAATGAAAAACTGGCATAAATTGTATTTTCAATGACATTCTGAATGACTGAGTCCTGAAGCAGACTGGCAGCTCTGTAGAGAGTTGCATTATGCTGTTTGCTGCACCTGCTCTTCTCTCAGACTCTTTGGCAATTTGGCACCAACTATGCCCAATTCCTGCCTTTTTGAACAGCAAATGGATCCTTCACAAGACCAGAGGACTAACATGTTGTTTGTTTGGTAAACAATAAATACCCATTTAAAGGAAAAAACTGAACAGGTTTGAGTATGTCCATTACTTTTTAAATTAAATTATAGTTTTCTGATATAGATGGTGATGCTAAAGCTGGAGGTTATTTAAAAAGCAAGTCCAAAGTGTCTTGTCATTCCTTATTTCTTATCATCACAATGTCCCTCTGCTATGTTACCTGAAGCATTTTAATGAATCTTGTACATCTCTATCAGTTGTTGGCATCAAGAACATGATGGGTTCAAATGCGTGAATGTATTATTGGTATGCAGGGTATGAATAAATGGAACTTAAAAGAGAACAGCTTGCTGAATATTGCACTGAAGGAATCCTTTAGATCAGGGGTCACCAACTCGGTGCACACGGGCCCCAAAGGGCCCACAAGGACCACATACTGTGCCCTCAATGTCTTCTGAGAAGAGAACAACTCACCAGTAGACTTTGTTTCAGATCTTATTTTAGTCCGTTTCTCTTCTTTTTAATCATTTATAAATAACTTGATCATATTAACCATATAGAGCTTTTTAGCATTTATAGAGATTTAAAAGTTAAACATAACAATGTGTTTATTATGAATACAGTTTAGGTGAACATGGATCATAGGTCAATATTGGTAACCCTCCCTATGACTGAGTAACCAGGAAGCAACCCTCAGCCTTAAAAAGGTTGGTAACCCCTGCATTAGATATGGTTATATTGTTGTTGGTGACATGCTAATTAGTATTTGTAGAAGATATGTATATATATTTGCTTTTTAGCATTTCTCTTCCAGCTTTATTTGCAGAAGTAAGTTCAATTAGATATTATTGCTTGTTTTGGGTCAGTAGAAAAGGTTGTTTAATGTAGCAGCTCATAAATGAATAAATCCAGTCTGAGAACTGAGCATTAGTGAAAGAACACAATCTGGACTCAAGTAACCATGTCCTAAAGAGAGCAGCCCTTCTTGCTGCTTTGATTTGCAGAGTAGAGGGGGATGAAGCGAGGCCCCTGCCCCAGCCTGGCTGCTCCGTGCACGGAGCCTCTGCAGCACCACTCCCTCCCTCTGCGGTCCCAGAGAGATGCGAAGGTTTCTGACAGCCACATTATTCTTTAAAAAGTGCCAGCGGCTGCTGGAGCTGACAGCTTGTTCAGCAGTTGCAGCGCTCATGGTGATGGCGGTGGGGCGCTCAGCTGGCTGAGCTTAAAATGCTGCTGCAGCGTCATTTGGTGTCCCGAGCTCTTACTCTGGAACAGGGACAGAGAGGAACTCTCATGACTACCTCCTGATAACACAGGTGGGAAAAAAATGGAAGGAGAGCTGAGATCACGTCACCAGGCAATATCACACACTTGCAGTAGCTATTTTTAACCCGCCTCTCATTATGGTTCTCCTTTACAGTACAGTGTTCCTACCCTTTCAGTGACTTCCTCTCTGTGTGACTTTCTCTCTTTGTTTCTCTGTTGGTTTCCTTAAATAGTATTTTTTATAGATTTGTGTGGAAAAGAAAAAACAGTAGCAGGGCTAATTGGTTAACAGGATTTCTATCAGAGAGCATTAGGTAGAACAATTGTGTTTAAAAGCGAATGAGCGCCTGGGTAAACCTCAGTTTTAAATACATGTTTGAATAAGATTAAAACCATACACCTTTGACTTTGTACTATACCTTTTAGAAGCATTCATATCCCTCGAGCTTTGTAACATTTTTTATCTCGCAAACACAAACCAATAGATCTAAGAGAGATTTCAGGTTACAGTTCAACAAAAAGTTGCACAAAATCCATGTTGTTGCTTGTTGGAAGATGGAAGGAGCTAAATATAAGACTAGAATGGAGGAAAAACTATTAGAGACTTGAAGATATTTTCACCCCATTTGGTCAACAACTCAAGACTTTATTGTTTATCAATTATTGAAATAATCATTAACTATTTTAGTAAACGATTAATCATTAAATAGATGTATTTATACACACATTGGATTTCAGAATTTTTCTACCCATACTGTTTACATATGATCACTACTGCACTTTATGGAATGGAAATGTTCATTTACTGTCTGAAAAGCAGTACTAAACAAAATAATCATTAACTATTTTAGTAAACGATTAATCATTAAATAGAGTATAGGGACTGTAAAACATGCCTTTAGCTGACAGAGCTACCCACTTAGAGCATTAATTATATCAAAATTGTAAAAAGAAAATATATATAAAGATTTTGCATTTAAGATTAAAATACTTTATTGTCTGTAATTATTCTCTATCCACAACTTTTCTACTCCTCAAGTAGAAAAGTTTTGGTTTCATCTGGTTTAATTTGGTAAAAAATCTTCTTATTAATTGATTAATCAAAAAGATAATTGACAGATTAACCGATTTGCAAAGTAATTGTTGGTTGCAGCCCTAAATCTAGATGTTAAAATGTTCAAGTTAAATAGATCAAAATTCAATTGGCTTAAAAATCTTAATTCACTGATGATCTCCAGCTAATAAAGCTCAAGCTTAAACTATTATGCAACTAAAAATGTGCAGGCTGAAGCTGAGTGGATAGAGACAAACCAAGAAACTAGCAGTTGCAATTGCAGCAAAAGTATTACTTTCTAAATACACCCCTTAGACTTTTGTTTTTAAAAAAATAAAGGGAAAAAGCATGATTTGCTTTCCACCTCAAAACTATTGGTCAATGAGTTCTAATCAAAGCTAAAAAACTTTAGGTGTAACATATCAAAGTTGGAAATGTGTGACCAGAAACGTTTAAATGAACTGCATGATGTTTTTCTCAGTTACGAGATGTCATACAGTAAAGAGCATAACCGCACACATCCACACACTGCAAACAAACTCACTCTTCTTGGTGCTGCTTCGAGCAGCAAGGCTGGTCATGCTGCCTGACTGACTGTTGTCCTCCATGCTGGGGTCAAAGGCCGGGTTGACCAGCCCGGGTTCGTCTGAGAGCAGAGCCACGGCGGCGGAGGTGGGTCCATCACTGGGCAGCGTGGCCACGGTGAGTTCTGATGTGCTGTCTGTACACTCACCCTCCTGCGAGCGGCGCTTCCTGTCTGTTGAGAGTCCATAGTGGGAGGCCCCTTTACACCTACAAACAGTAGAAAAAAGATCAATAGTTTAGACTAATAAGGATTGTAAGTGTACTTCAAAATTTAATTAATGCAATTATTATGGAACATTACAGATGCATCAATGAGTTTTAGTGGGATGTTGATATGGCACTCCAACAAAGCAATGGAAAAATTTAAAGTAAGTCTTTGTGATTTTGCCAAAAATATAAATTGCAGTTTTCTTTCCAACCAAAAAAGCAAATTTCTTTAAATGTCTCATTCAGGTACATGTTTGGCTCCAGGATTTCATGGTCTTGAAAATTTCTTGTCCAAAGCCCATTGACACAGGTAGGGATCAGTGACGTGCGGTGAGGTTCATAGCTGGTGAGGCACTGACGTCATCAGAATCAGATTTGCAAATAGATGCATAGATTGACAGCAGTTTACAGGTTATGTTTCACTTCTGCATCCTTACACATACAAACTGTAGCTCACAAAACACACATTTCCTTAAAAAACAAAACAAAATAAATGTTATTACTGTCTTACCGTTACTTATAAATGAATAGAAGTCCTCCTTATCTTCCTTCAGTTTTAAAAGTCTCTCTGTCTCAATGGAGATCACTGCCAGGGAAGAAAGCCTTCCTTGATCCGTCCTGTTCCTGCCTTATGTTTTCAGTCTCTTGAGCACCCCCTGCCATGAGGCAAGAGAACTGCCTGCCTCACCTCGAACTTGTTCTCTGCCGTTTATAATCGCTCATTACACGAAACACGTTACACAAACACAGTTGGTGACAAAAAGCTCTGTACATTATATACATAAGCCAAATTATTAGAAATAAGTTCACATATTACATTTGTTTAAACTATTTTATTGACGCCGTACAGCAACATGCTCTCTCCGCTTTGCAGCCAGCGCAGAGCCAGGGGTTGCGCAATCCAAGGTGAGGCAGAGCTCGCTGCTGCCTCACCGGCATCGCTTCCAAGCATTTGAATGGGAAAATAAGAAAATTCAGCGATTTTGAACAAATAAAAATCGAAATTGGTGAAGCTACATGAAAAATGAATATTTTTTAGTACAAACCACCGGATGAATATAACAATTTAAATTACTTTATGATTATATATTTTCTTTCTTTCCATGATGGCTGGTGAGGCACTGCCTCACCTGCCTCCCCTGACCGCACGTCACTGGTAGGGATGGGAATCGAAAACCGGTTCCTGTTAAGAACCGGTTCCGTATTTTCCGATTCCATGGCATCGTTTGGCAGCTCACTGAACGATTCTTTTTTCGATTCCCGCAGCACCAGAGCCTAGAGCGCCGGCTCTGGGGAGCACGACTTACGTCACGTTTTTTACGTAAGTTACGTAAGTTACGCAAGTTACGCAAGTTACGCAAGTTGGAAGAACTATTCGAGGAGGAAGACAACGAGCTGCGGTCACTTTGTGAATCAAAGCCCCGTCTTTCCTTAGCCCAGAGGGTAGATCAGGAAATCCAGCTCTATAAAAGCTTGCCCTCCATCCCCTGCAGGGATAGCGCCACACTGTGGTGGTGGAACAAGCAAGATACGCTGCCCTTGCTATCTGACTGGCTGAAAACTACCTCTGTGTGCAGGCTTCCTCCACCCCATCTGAGAGGGTGTTCTCCACGGCTGGAGACACCATAAGCCCTGAAAGATCCTGTATCCTTCCAGAAAAAGCAGATATGCTCATCTTTCTGCAAAAGAACTGTTAATTTTTCCTACTACTGTTTTATAATTAGTATTTTTTGTTATTTAAAATAGGTTATTATCCCATCATTTGTTATTAGACATTGTTGGTTATTAAGTTTGTTCTTGTATATTTATTTTTCATTTAAACACAGATGTTACTCCAGTTTCACATTTCCTGTGGACATCTTGATCTTGTTGAGTTTGTAAGATTGTGCAATAGTTAAGTAAACAAAGTTGATTCTGATAATCAAACTGTTTGTTCTCCTTTTTCCCCCAAATTGGAATCGAAAAAAGAATCGATAAAGAATCGAATCATTTCATAGAATCGAAAAGGGAATCGGAATCGTGAAAATCTTTTCAATTCCCAACCCTAGACACAGGCCTTCACTGATAAGTGGAAAACAGCTTTCTTCTAGCTTGCTTGCATAGATGTGATTCTCTCCCCACATTAATCTTATTATCACCACCTTTATGGCTCTGATGAAAAACTTAGTGTCTTTGGTTAAATGTAATATGACTAAAAATCCAGTGCCTCTTTGAAACAGAAATTACTTCTTTTTTTTAGCTGTGATTACATAGCGCATGCAATTAATTGTCCATCCCTGACATGAACTGAAAAGTTACGCCTTAACCAACCCTACATCAATTTTAACAGTTCTTCTATGATGCTTTCTTAAACTCAGTTAGATTGGGTGGGGAGCAACCGTCGAAAATATATATTTAAAGTTTTGTCACAGATTTAAAATTGCTTGAAGTTTGGACTTTGACTAGGCCATTGTAACAGGTGAATCTGCTTTAATGAAACTGTTACTAGCTGCATGTTTCAGGTCATTGTCCTGCCGGAATATCAATCTTTAGCTCAGTTTTCTTTAGGTGTTCTAACATCTGAGCTCAAGAGAAGCATCCCCATGTTATAATGCTGACATTAGTTTGATCTGAGGAATATAGTATTAAGTAGTGTTGCACTGACACCGGTACCAGCATCGTAGCACTAATGGTGGTATCAGTATCAACGAGTACCAACAAATAGGGCACCGATACCATTTTGAGAGCCAAAAGTTTATTCAACTATTGTCAGCTATTCAAGGGAGGCAATAAAAAGTTCTACTGGATTCACTTTGTATTAGTCTTTTTCCTGCTTCACAAAGGTAAACTTGATGGTATCGGTATCGGCCAATACTGCAAAGTCATGTATCGGATATCGGTATCGGGACCATCGGGGCCAAAAAATTTGTGTCTGCTTATGATTGAAAATAACTAAATAAATAGGATTAGCGCCTTAAAAAATGTTTTCTAACAAGTCTCTGAGGCCTTTCCAGGATAGATGTATTTATACACACATTGGATTTCAGAATTTATTTCCCCATACTGTTTACATTTGATCACAACTGCACTTTATGGAATGGAAATGTTAATTTACTGTCTGAAAAGCTGTACTAAACGAAATTTTGATTTGTATACACTCTGTGTATATAAATGACAAAAAAGTTGTCTTAGTCTAAGAAAAATCAAATTCTCTTCACTATTTCGATCTCTGAAGGTTGCATCCAATTTTAGGTACAGTTATCAAAGTAGAGGTGGCTAATTACACGTGCATACCTATTTTCAGCTTTTTCTTAAACAATTTGATGCACTTTCTGTCCTACTGACAATTTAAAAAAAAGAAACCTGAATTTTGCCATTTTAGAAAACATGCAGGGTAGGTGAATTGAACAGTGAGACCGGTGATGTATGGTAGCTTGCTTTCATAATGAACCTGTCATGATCGGTACACGAATGTGACCCAATTATGCAGAACACCACGACACAGGAAACAGATGAAAAGTTAACAGAGTTTATTGAATACAATCCAATGATAGTATGTTCTGGTTCTGGTCCTGGGCAAACGGGTTCACCGGAGTCTGTGAGGAAGACAGTTAGTTAGCTGGGCTCTTAGCGGTTTGTCCTTTGATAGTCTCTGGTGTGTACCTTGTGGGTCCTTGAATGGATCTTGGAGAGGAAGGTTGTTGGAACTGGAGAGAGTCTGATTAGCTGAGTCCGTTAGCTGCTTCAGCGTCTTGCTTCTAGAAAGGTAGCAGACCTTGACTTTGGATTTCCAGCTCTTGGTCCAGAGCTGCAAGAGAATCCAGGGGAAGTCTTCAGGTTTGGCTCTGAGGGCAGGCTCGGCGGGTTAAGCTCTACCAGAGCTTCACGAAGGAAGATCAGGTTTTCCAACTGGCTCAACACTGCGGCGTTGAGGCAAGGTCTGAAGACAGCTTAAGTAGAGGGTCCTCCTGATGATGGTAACGAGCAGCAGCTGTGCAGAGGGCTCTGCTCAGGAGGATCCACGGCGGACTCTGCTGGAGAAGAGAGGTACTTCTCCAGCTTCCAACAGAACCTTCTGCAGAGGCAGTCTGAGTCGACCCAAACAGATTCCTGTTAACATTTATTAAAAAGGTCAGGCTCTCAAAACACTGATGGGAGCAGATTTCAGGTTTTTCCTTCAGGCTGCAGCCTCTGCTGTGAGGAAGCCTCACACAAAGACTGCTTATCTGACCTCAGCGCTCAAACAGCAGCTCTCTGAGATAACGTACCACCTGTACACTAAGCTACAAATACTCTGTTGGCATCAATTTTTGGCTTTTCCAGTGTGAATTCATATCACAGTGTGAAGCTACCATGACATTAGCTTTACCTTCAAAATGTTGATAAAACATCCACTTTTAGTTGCTTGTTCACCTTCCAGCTCACAGTATCCACACATAGGATACGTTTTCTCTGCCGCATTGAGCATGACTGTAACTGACAGTTAACTGAGTACAAAGTGTAAGAAATCATCCGCTGGTGAGGAGAGAGGGCGAGGAGTCGACACCACATCTGAATATGGAACAGAAATTGTTTGATTGTTGTTACACTGAAAGACAAATTTAATTCCTGAGCTCCAGATGTCTTCTGTCTGTCAACAACAGTGTAATCACTGCACACAATCATTCTCTCTAGTGCGTGTACAAATGCTCACTTACACTGCAACAGTAAGAAACTAGGGATGTGTGCATACATCGCAAGCATTTCTCTGCACACCAGAGTGTTTTGTTTTTGGAGATTTTTTTTCCACCCTCCGTAAGCCATAAAGGCTTCATCAGAGGCAGGAATAACTCTGCCTTGTGTCTCCGACAGTCTCTGCGGAGCCATCAGCACAAACATTAACTCGGTTTTAATGAGCTGGATCAGACCCAGGCTCTGCTTCACCGGTAGCTCCGGAAAAAAAGAAAACACAGGTGGTGTGGCAGTTTTCTCCTGTTCTCTGCGACTTTTTTTTTTTTTTTTTTTAAGTTTTAGCCAAATAA